CGCGCGGCGGGCACGGCGCCGGCTGGCAGCGCTGGACCCGGGCGCTGCGGACTCCGGCCACTTCTGCGACCTGTGTCCGGGCTCCGCACAGGCTGGGGGTGCGGTACCCGGTTCCCGTGGAGCTGCGGGCTCCTCCTTCGCCTGCTGTCCCCTTCACTGGAAGGGGAGAAGCTCACACGCGTTGCTTCGGCAGGAGCAACGCTCCCTACTTCCAGCATTCCTCAAGTCTGGTTTTGGTTTTCCTCCGCTTACCGTAACTGCCTGAAACGCCGGTGGGGAGACCTTTGCTCTCTGATAGACCCTGGCTCCGGCAGATGTGTTCGCTGCACCTTCTTGCAGCTGGGCTGTGCGCAGGGATCCTGCTCGAGGAGATCCTTGGGATGCTCTTCGCATGCTCGCTGCCCGCCTGATTCCCCAGCTGGTCCGTGCACATCGCTCCCAACCACAGAATGCTGCTCTAAGCCTTGTCCGGCCATGGTAGGGTGAGGGCAGCATCGCGGGGTTGCTGCTGAAGTCCGTGACCGTGGGAGACTGTGGGCAGAGTGACTCTCTGTCACTATCTCTATGGACTTGTTTCTAAGAGGTCTTTTGTTCTAAAAGTAATAGTTTTGGACACATTGAATATGGTGGGTTGGTTTCTGTCATCTAAAACCTGCTCTAGTTGAAGAAAGCTCACAGCAAAGAGCTCCTAGGAACCATAAAGTTGAAAGCTTCAGCTTTTATCCCCTTCGGCTTCTGAATCATCTGTATTTAGTGAAAATAAGCAATAAAAACGTGGCCAAGTGCTTCATTTCACTTAAGCGGGTGAGATGCAGTGCCTAGAGCAGAGTGGATCCCCGGGATCAGGCAGTTTGGATCCAGATGCGACTTCCCCAAACGTCAAGTTTGATATTGGCACTCACAGCCATTCCTCCTCCATCTCGCTTCCAGCAGCTCCTGGGAGACACTTCTGGCTGTGTCCCCGTCCGGTATTCATCACTTCCCGGGTGAGCCGGTCCTCAGTAGTTTGCTGTCACCCTTGGCTGTGGCTCTGGCTGGTTTGAGAGTGGCCACGGTGTCTTGCAGTTGCGGCCACATCGTGCTCTGAGCACATGCGCGTTGCCTTGTGGAGCCTAGAAGCAGCCTGAGAACGCAGGCAGGTCCCCCCACTCCAGCTGTGTAACATCTGGAAGATGTTTCCCTCAGGGTGGACCGTTTCTGGTGCCCCAGATGGTGCTTTGGCATCGCCTCTGCCTCGTGCTGATTGTTTCTATGTCTGTCCTTGTAGGAGCTGAGAGATTTGGCATCCAAACACCCAAACCTGGTCCTGGTGAAGCTGGGTAGGTGTGCTCTGCCTCTGAGCCGGTAAATTTGTGGCTGCCACACTTGCCCCATTTCTCCTTCCCTCCCTCTCTGCCTTCAGGCATGGGGGATCCGGTTCTTCAGAGCTGCTTCAAGTCTGGCTGATGTAAGACCAGCCTCTCCAGAACTGTCTCAGCCCCAGTACCCCATTCTCTGGAGCCTCCTTGTCCCGTTGCCACAGGACCAGGAGGTTCTTGAGACCCATTCTGGGTGGCCTGCAGCTCCCCGGGCCGAGTGGCCGCATCCTTGCTTTGCCACGTAGCTGAGCTGCCTTGATCCCAGGTCTTAGGCGAGACCAGGAGGGCTCTGGGAAGAAAGCAGCTTCCATGGAAAATGCTGAACGATGGTCCCAGAGCCCGGGCAGGAGCTGTAGACCTTGCAGAGCCATCCCGCAGCAGGTCCTAGCACAGTTCCCATCTCTCCAAAACTGCCCAGGGCTCTCCAGAGCTCGCTCAGCCACGGCCTTTGTCCGCTGAGAGCAGGGGAGTCCCAGCAGCGCTGTGCCACCACGGGGCTGTCCCCGGGCAGGGTCCTTCAGCTGCAGGTACCCTCTGCGTGGTGGTCGTGGGGGGACAGTTCTGGAATGAGAGAAGTGCCGGGATGCTCTGAGCTGGCGGCACAGCACCATCTGGTGCCCACGGGTGGAAAGCCACGCAGGTCCTGATCCATGGCTGTTCCTCAGCACCATGGAAGCAGCGCTGTGCCACCACGGGGCTGTCCCCGGGCAGGGTCCTTCAGCTGCAGGTACCCTCTGCGTGGTGGTCGTGGGGGGACAGTTCTGGAATGAGAGAAGTGCCGGGATGCTCTGAGCTGGCGGCACAGCACCATCTGGTGCCCACGGGTGGAAAGCCACGCAGGTCCTGATCCATGGCTGTTCCTCAGCACCATGGAAGCATCATGGAATCTTTTAGGTGGGAAAAGACCTTTAAGATTATCGAGTCCAACCATAAACCCAGCACTACCAAGCCCACCACTAACCCATGTCCCTGAGCACCACATCCACATCTCTTAAATGGTCACTCCACCAGGACTGGTGACTCCACCACCTCCCAGGGCAGCCCGTTCCTATGCCTGACAGGCCTTTCCAGGAAGAAATTTTCCCCAGTGTCTGATCTAAACCTCCCCCGGTGCAACTTGAGGCTCTTTCCTCTTGTTCTGTCACTTGGGAGAAGAGACCAACCCCCACCTCTCTGCACCCTCCTTTCAGGTAGGAGGTAGCACCTTAACATCCTCCTTCTCCCAGGCCCCCCGTGGCTCTCAGACCCTGTTCTCTTCTACCGCAGATGTTGCGAATCCCTCAGCTATTACCGATGCGGCGAAGATCGTGGAGGAGAAGCTGAATGGCACGGGCTTGAACCTGCTCATAAACAATGCCGGCATCTACACCCCGGCGGCATCGCTGGACACGGTGGACACTGAAGAGATGATAAGGACATACAAGACAAATGCAGTGGGGCCATTGCTGATGGCCCAGGTATGGATGGAGCTCACCATGGAGGGGGAATTTAGCCCAGCTTGAGGGTATCCCATGCTGTCTGTGGTCACAATGGAGATTTTGGAGGGCTTTGCCAGGTTTCTTGGGGCTGCAGGTGGGAGGGGGCAGTGCCAGGGCTGTGCTCCCAGCCCAAACCCTTGGTAGCCCTTCTGTGTTGTGCTGGGCTAAACTGGGAGCAGGCAGGGTCACTGCAGCAAAACACACCGTCTCTCTTGGCTTCCCGCTGTTCCTCCTCCTCCCTGCCGTAGGCAGGTTGGGTTGCAGTTGCAGTAAGTGAGGCAGGCTGGAGGCACAAGGCTGCTTCTCCCCAGGCGTTCCTGCCCCTGCTGAAGAAGGCTGCCCGGGAGAGCACAGAGAAGGGGCTGAGCTGCAGCAAGGCAGCCATCATCAACATCTCCACCATCATGGGATCCATTGAGAAAACGCCGGAGTCCTTCTGCAAGCCTGCCATCTCCTACCGCTGCAGCAAGGTAGGGAGACCAGGAACCAGGGACCCAAGCCTGTGAGCTCAGTGGGAGCTGGAGCTGCCCCTTGCCAGGCCTGATCTCAGGGCAGCACCTGAGGTGGTGGGACTTCTCCATGCTGATCACTGCCCCAGCGCCCTGGGCATCTCTGTGCCCAGCTGCTGCCCACATGTGCTGGCTCCCGAACACCTGGCATTGCTTTTTCTCCTTTGCCATGGGGCAGCGATGGGTCTGGTGCGTGGAGCTTCCTACTGCCCATGGCTGATGCTTCCTTCCTCCCCAGGCTGCCCTCAACATGCTCACCAAGTGCCAGGCTCTGACTTACGGAGAAGCTGGGATCCTCTGCATGGCACTTCACCCTGGCTGGGTGAAAACCGACATGGGCAGCCAAGAGGTGGGTTGTGGCTGAGCAGGTCGAGGAAGGGGACCCATGGGTGGGACCCAAGCCTGCAAACTTGCAGTGGCATGGGAGGTGGCTGGGATGGCTCTCGGGAGGAGGGATGTGTGGGAATGGGTTGCCTCTCAGGCTGCAAGTTGTGCTGGGCCACTGCAGAACATGAAGGTGCTGCTTGGGAAATAGCATCAGCACATATCAGTGGTGAGCAGGAGGCCTGTTCAGGAGGGTTAAAATGGCTTTGGGCAGCCTGGAGATGTGCAGAGAACCTGAATCCAACAGAGCAGGGAGGAGAGGAGCAGGACCATCCCATCCTCTGCCCTTCCTCGCAGAGCTTCAGGTCCCTGAGGTCTCCATTCAGCCTGCAGGATCCCTGTGCTGGGAGCATGGTCCTGCAACCCTGGGGTTTTGGGAAGGCTACGCATAGCATCCCACTGGCAGCAGGATCTTCTATGTGTCCTAATGATTGATTTAAGCCTGTAGCTGGCTTCCCAGCCCAAGCCACCCACCCAAGCCATCAGTGAGCATGCCAGACACCCAGGCATCCTCCCATGTAACAGGCCCATCCCACCTCCTGGGGCTCTCTCCTTGGTCTGGGCAGAAGGAGCCTTGCTGCCGGTGTGCACGAGCTGGCTGGGTGCCAGTGGATGTCTGGGAATGACGGTGGGGTCTCAGTCCTGCTCCCAACCTTGTGCCCATTGCAGGCTGACCTGACGGTGGACACGAGCGTGCGGGGGCTGCTCTCTGTACTGCCGATCCTCTCTGAGAAACACAGTGGGACCTTGCTCAACTGGGAAGGTAAAGCTATTCCTTGGTGACCACTCTCTGTCCCTGCAGTGCCAGGTGACTTCGGGATGCACAGCTCTGTGTGGTCTGCACGGGACCTACTGGGACTGCACCACAGGCAGCCTGTGACCCCTGATGTTGCTAATAAATAAATAAAGTAAATTAGTACCTATGCCTCCTCACAGCTACAATGCCCCCACCGAGACTGTCCCTGCCCTGGCCTGGAGCTGGCCCCTGCAAAAAATAACCCGGTGTCATAGCAGCCTGCCTGCCTTGCCTTGGGCTACTCTGAGCCCTGGGGAGGGCCTGGGGGCACATAACCAGCCCAAAGCCCTGCTGTCCTCCCTGGCTGCTGAATGTGCGCAGGTCTGCCTGCTCTCTGCTGTGTTTCCACCCAAAATGTGGTGTCTTTACTACAGATTTCTTTGTAGTGGACGCAGTGTCCTTGGGAAGCAGCCCTGGGGCTAGAATGGGAGGACAAGTAGCATCACAGTTCAGTTCTGCAAACCCAGGCCAGCCCTTTCCAGTGGACACCCAACTGGGCATGGTATCCCTGGGTGGGGGAAACCCAGTCCCTAGTGGGAGCACAGCATGGGAATTGCATTTCTGCAGGATGGAGAAGCTGAGAACCTTAATAACTGGGGTTCTGCGTGGGTTGGGCAACATGAATTTGCCCAGAAGGGGGTAACACCGCCCAGTAAAGGGCTTTGGGGTGGTGTTGGGTTTTCCCAGGATGGTTCTGCTCCTTCTGGAAAGAGCTTCTCCTTGGGGAGCATGATGGAAAGGAGCAGGGGCTCCTGCAAATCCAAGCCTAGTCTCAGGGGGGCAGAGCAACCTGGCTTTTGGGAGAGGCAACCCCACTTCTTGCCCCAGAGCCCACCACCTCCTCTTTCTTATCTGGAGGACCATCTGAAGCCCCTCCCGCTGATGTGAGCTGTCCCCCAGCAAGCTCTGGCACCTCCAGCTCCGGTTCCTCCCGAGCCAATGGCATTTTGGTAACAGACTTTCCGGAAGCTGGGAAAGAGGACAACAGGGAGCATCTGCAAACTGGGTGCCAGCCTGGGCTTGGGGACAGGGATCCCATGGTTGGACGGAGCAGCACTGCCAGAGCTCATGAGCTTGCACTCCTGGTTCCTTGCAGCCCTTTCATGGGAGTCCCAAGCAGCGCAGGAGCCCAGCCAGGGATGGGAAGAGAGGCAAGATGCCCCTGTGAAGTTCAGGGGTGCTGGGAGCATCCCAAGCTGGAGAGGGGGGCCCTTACTCTGCAGGCTCTTGCTGTAATGGATGGGCAGGTCCTTACTGGAGCAATTCCAGGAGCTGGGATACCAGGGACCCACCTGGGTCCAACTTCTCTCCCAGAGCTGAGGCTCTGCTGCCCCATCCCTGGTGTGCGGCTAATGCCAACCCTGACCTGGCGGTGCCAAAGAAAGCCAAGCCCCCAGGCTCTTTGGATCTCTCCATCTTCCCCATGCCCAGGTTGGCAAGCACTTTTCCAAGTCCGTGCTGTGCTTTCCACGGAGACGACACTGCGGGGAGCCGTATCCATGTGAGGCACCCACTGCTGCATGGGTGCTTGCTGGCAGGGAGATGTTGTCATCAGCTTTCTCCTCCCTGTGTTCAGTATCTGCCCAGATAACGGAGCTGCGCTGCAGCTGGAGCATCCTCAGGGAAGCTCTGAACCATCCAGCTCTTCCCAGCCACCTGATTTCCCATGCAAATGCTCACCTTGTCTTTGCTCTTTTGTTTCCCAGCTCGTATCTGTGGCCAGAGGAGTCAGTACCCACCTGGGCACCTCCCTGGGTATTTGCCAGCGCTTCAATGGCAGCAGGAGGAGAGAAATCCATGGTGAGGAATAGGAGCATGGATGAAGGGCCTGATCCTGCAGCTTTACAGCTGTGCTCAGCCCAGCGCTGGCTCAGAGACGTGGCCAAGCCTTCACTGAGTGCCATTCCTGCCCCTTGGCAGAGGTTCTCCTGCCCCCATTGCTCCACACAAGCCAACTGGAGCCCGGCCAGTAGCCGTGGGCTGGCTCCATGCCCCTTTCTCTCCATGTTTCTCCCTTCTGCCTCATGCCACGTGCTGGATCCTGGGAGATGAGCTATGCCAGGGATCCCACCACTCCTTGAAGGAGCTTATAGCACCCCCCATGATCACAGACAGCCCCATGAGATGGATGCAGCTGCTCCTCTGGAATATGCGGAGAAAGGGGACTGCTGGAAGCTGGGACAAGTTCCATCAGCTTGGCTGATGTTCTGCAGAGCTGGTGACACAGGAGGGTTGCCCGCCCACTGTGGTAGCAGGGTTTTGGCTGAGCTCAGGAAGCTGATCAATCTGTGAGCGTCTCTCTCCAGCCCCTGGGACATGGCGGTGTGGGTAGCCCTGTGTGCCAAAGGAGGCAGGAGAAGGAATGGGAAGCTCTGCAGGTGAGGTCTGTCCTGGAATTATTAGAAGCCCAGCTGCTGGGAATGAGGACAAACTCCAAGGGGCTGCTGGATGTTGAAGCACAATGAGCACCAGCCCGGTGCAGGGGTCACTCCTATGGGTGCAGGCACAGCGGGCTCATTGCTGTCCAGTGCCAAGTGGCAGCACGTCGGTCGAACCCATTTTTCAAGCCAACAGGAGACTGGGGCAGGACGACGCAGCTTGGACCTCTGCATCTGGGAATCGCCCTCCGTGAGTGCTTTGCTGTCACAGGTGAGGCCAGCTGCTCCACAGGAGTCCATCCTTCCACCCTCCAAGGCTCATCCCACATACTGCAGCTGAGCTGCTGGGGACTGTGCTGGCTGTGGTAATGTCGAGGCCAGGGGTGCCTGAGCACCCTAAGGTGCTTCCAGGACATGAGTTCCTCAAGGAGCCTCAGTGAGTGGCCAGATGGGCAGGTCTCCCTGCTCAAATGCTTGCCAAGTGGTGTTGGCTTTTCCTTTGCACAAGTTCCGGGTGTTGTGCTCATGCAGCTGATTATCTCTCCATTTCCTCTCCGGCCTGATGTTTCCTGCCTCGCTCGCTCCCTTTTGCTGGCTTTTCCCTTTGTGTCAGCCTTATCTCCTGGCTCTGGGCGGCGTCAGACCTCAGCGTTCCCCCTGCCCACCGTGATGGCAAGACGCAGCCCTGGGCACCGTGCCCTGTGTCCTCTCACCGGGCTGCAGCCGGGTGCCCCAGGAGACACCTGAAACGCCAGCTCGACCAGGCCATCCGGCAGCTTCTTGGCAAGCTGGGACAGCGCAAGGATGGTTTAGGATCCATCTGCTTTTAGCAGCTGATCCATCTCTATTCTGAAGCAGGGGGACAGCACGTTGCCTGCCCTAACATGCAGGCCCCTGCCGCTGGGTCGGGCAGTAGGGAATTCTGGACACCCCCTCGGGGACCCTTCACACAGGGGCTGCACGGCGGCATAGGAACATGTCTGGGGACTTCCAGGGACCACGGGGAGGGGTTTGTCACCTGGAGCAGTTCCGACTGCTTCCATCAGCCGTGTGGAGCCATAGTAGTGTCTGGGGAATGAACATAGCTCTGCTTCAGGGAGCCCAGCAGCTCTGCAGGCTCCAGGGATTGACTTCCAGGGTCTTCCACCAGCTGCCACCTTTCAGACCAGTAGCCACAGGCAAAGACTTGTTGCAGCAGGAGCTGGGATCAGGCGGGTCCGTGGGTCAGGACAGGAGTGGGGAGGACGTGGGGAATCCTGGCAGGACTTGGCAGGATCGGGGCAAGACCCGTTTTGAGAGGCAACCCCTCTCCATGCCCAGGTGGGGCAAACAGCAGCAGGCACAGCCCCCGCAAAAGGAGGAGAGGGTCAGAAGAGGAGAGTGGGAAGGGAAAAGGGCTGCTCCTGTGACAGCTGCGGAGGTGGAGCAGGAGGCAGGTCACAGCCAGCACAGGAGGAAGTGCTGGGACACGGGCCAGCGTGGCTGGGGCGGCCGGGCGCAGCAGCTCCAGGTGCAGGAGACCATTGCTGGCTGGGGAAGGACTGGGAGAAAGGGCAACTGGAACTGCAGGGACCTCAGCCAGGCCCTGGAGACCCCCTCGGCAGGAGTCTTCTTCCACTCAAAACAACTCTTCATTCTGCCAAGGTGCGGGCACTGTCCATGGTGAGGGGGGATGGGGATGGTCACAGTGGGGACATCTCCATGCCAGGTGGCACTGTGGTCCTGTGGCTCACAGTCCCGGCTGACCATTCCCATAGCCACCAGTGCTGGGGTAGACTGATGCCGGGAAGGCTGGATTGTCTTGGGGTTGTGCTGCACGCTCTGGGGTGCAACGCCAGCAGGGTGCTGGGGCCCCAGGCTGACACCAAAGTACCGGGACCCAGCCCAGGTGCGTGAGAAACGCGGCTCAGGAGGAAGCACAGCGCGAGGGCTGCCGAGGAAGCCGAGTGGGGCCGGCAGATAATGTGCCAAGTCTTCATCCGGCTTGGCCGCAGCTGCAGGGCCAGGGTTGCTCCATCGCTATCTGGCCCTGCAGAGCCCGGTGCATCCCTTCTCCCTCTGCTGTGTTATTGTTAGCCGGGAGGAAGCAGCATACCAAGTCCCACCTCAACCTTTTAACACGCTGCTGCCTGGCCTGCTGCTCTCTTCTCCTGTAAGGACGGCTCCACGGCTGCCCTGGGAGGACAGTTTGGTTTGGTACCGGGAACTTGCCACAGGGTTTACCTCCTTAGGGACCAGCAGCCCCTCCGGCAGGTCTCCCCCTGGCCATGCTGTCTCCCACAGCCACCCTTGCAAAGGGTGGGCACTAGCATTGTCGTCTCTCTGTCTGGAGAGAAGATCCTGAAGGCTTTGGGTGCTGATGATTCCCTCCTTGCTCTCTCTTCCCCCTTTTAGCTGGTTGGATCCTGCCTGGTGCTTCCTTTGGAAGCCTCCCCAGTCTGCTGGGGGGGCAGCATGGAGGCGGCAGCTTTACCAGCTTTGAACAGATTTAACCCAAATACCTAATAAACCGTTTGGAGGAAATCCAACTTGGGGAAGAAAATTGCAGCACTTCACCGTCTTCCTTTGAAGAGCCAGGATTTAATTGGATGCCAGGGTCCCCGGAGCTG